AGACAACATCTATTAGCACTTAGCACTTGCAAGAATCCCTCCTCAGGTCCAGGAACCAATCTTAAAAACTTTCACAATGCATTTCACAGTCACAGCCTCAGGCAGGGACAGTTCACTATCAGCCAGGCCCAGAAAGGCCAGATCACAGCGAGGGAGGTAGCTGCATCTTTATCAACTCCCTTTGCTCAGCATCAACACCAGGAGAAGGAAAGAAGGAAAAAAGAAACAATCAAGCCCCTGTTCTCAGCATTTCTAGAGCCTTGTGTTTCAGATCCTGTCTGCACCTACTCCTCTAGGGTTCTGTTTTATCATCTCTAACCCCCCCACCCACACCTTCAGGCACAGCACCCTAAGCAGAGCATGCTTCTCAGGAGCTGCTACTCTCGGGTGCACAAACACAAAAGGCCCAAATACATCTTCAAGTACAGTTCCAAACCTTGTTCACAGATTACAAACAAGCAGAGCTTCAGTACCTTGAAACACAGCTATGCTTTATAAGTACTCAGGATAAACAGATAGCTAATTTTTCCCTTCACGGCTTCAAAAATAAGAGTGATTCAGAGGTTAAACTGAGCCACCCAAGTCAGAAAAAGCAGGATAAAAAGTAACTTTGGAGTTGTCTATCCATTTTGGAAAGTCTTCATTTATTGTAGTAATTATTTCATTGTACACTATGGTATCAAAAAAAGCCATAACATGCAGACAGGAGACCTTTTCAGGAGATTTATCAGAAGCACATGTAGACTTACAATTAGCTTTAATATACTATTTGAAAGCTGAGAGCAGAACTTAAGTTCACTTTTGAACTTGTATGCAACATGTATGCACACGAATTGTTCAGGAATTTAAGGCAATTTGCATATTAAGATAAAAAACCATTAGATTAATAGATTTTTATGTTGTGCTCAAAATGTTAGCTCAATTGAAACCATTTACATATACTTCATCTCAAAGGACTGAGAGTCATAAATAGCAGCTGCTCCTTGATAAAAATACAGTCCTGAGAACAAGCTAGTAGCAATGCTTAAGCTATGACATCTTCTGTGTCAGAGTATAAGCTATTTTTGCAATAAGGAGCAGTATTTACCAGGTGTTCAACAGGCAAAGGCATTCTAAACATGCAATAGCTCCCAACAGAAGTCTGAAATTACTTCCAGTATCTTGCTTACAATAGTTTATTTGCACACTGCAGAAAGATCAAGAAATCCTGCTATGCATTTGTGATCACTAATATTTCAAACACAACAACCAAGGGATACAACATAAGGACAGGCAGCAAAAGGTGTTTTACAAAAAACTCAGTCTTTTAGTAATTGGTTAGTTTGTTTGCAAGGTAATTGGAACACTCTTCCCTCGCCAACCCTGGGAATCATTCCCCCCCACTATACCTACACTATGACCAAACAACACTAGAGTGTTTAAATTCAGTGCAATAAGAGTAATTTCAGGACATTTCACTCTAAACAAAGGCAAAAGTTTATCTATATAGACATCCAAACGCCAACATATTTGGTACAGTGTAATGAAGTTACATAGATTTTACACCCTCAGAGGTATGCTCTTGCAGTGAATCACCTGCATTCCACAAGAAAAAAAAGTGTTTGAAACAGTATAATATGGTAGACTCAACGCTTTAAAAAAAAATTTATTGAGCTGGAATTGGAACTCCCTAACATTCACAATATAATTTAGGATGCATTTGTTACATGAAGAGCAGATAAAAAGACTTAAACAGTTTCACATACCAGTTAAGATATTCCACATGCTCCTTCCCCACCTACAATACTGACATCTTGGTTGTTTGGTGGTTTTTTTCCTTAACAAATACTCAGTTCAACTTGTCTACCTGACCACCTCCCCCATTTCTACAGGAGCAGACGTACAGTGATATCAGTGAGAGGATACGGGACACTGTCCTGTCCAGTGTTTGGACCCTGGAAAGGAGTAGGCCTAGCTATAAAAATAGAGTTCAACAATAAGCTGAACATGAAGCACTTCAGCGACCGAGGCAAAGCTGCACTCGGAAAAAGCTGTATAGTCACAGAGAAAGGAAAGCATCAGTGGCTGAACAGAGAGGAAAGGGGGAAGTAGTCTAAACTCTGCCCGCCCAACCCATTAGCTTTACAAAAAGTTCAGGAACTAGCAAAATCCATTATCTGCAAGGCCCGCAGGATTAAATGCCACATTAAGACAACCCACTCCAAATCCTATATAATTTGGCAACACTTAACAGGGCTTTAGCCATGCACAGTATGCATATACTATAGACTAACGCCTTCCTTCCACCCCTTCTTCCTCTTTCCCCTCCCCCCAGAAGAATGGAGTTGATTGATCAGAGTGTTTCACTACTGGTTTCCCCATTCATCGCCCACAATTTTATTTTCTTTTGAGGGCAGAGGGGTTGTCAAATACGTTGACAGTTTTTCTTTAAACAATTATGAAATTTTAAGGGATATAAAGACATTGGTGCATTTAGGAATTTACATATTTGTAAAAAAAAAACCTAGTTATAAAACTGCATTTTTATCACCTAGCACTTTCAAGATTCATTGTTATTTTTCACTAATTAACATATTAAATTAAGCCAAGGTTTGAGACCAGAAAAGTTCTACCAATCTACTTAAAAACAAAAAATAATATTTAAAACCAAAAAAGAAAAGGTTAGTTATGTTACATTCCAATATCCACAGCCCATTATATTAAATGCATTCTTTCTACAGGAATGATGTTCTTTAAAACAGATGATTGCAAATATTTTACTGCTAGACACTCCATTACATTGGATAATGTGACTGGAACCTGTGGATGCTGAAAATCTTGAGGTTTGTCCAAGTATCAATGTAAGGTGTCTAAGGTCCTCTGCCAGAACCATGTTTGGAAAAAAAAAAAAATCACAGATAAAGTTCTTTTGAGTTTTTTCAATCTTTCCTTGGCTTTCTGTTTCTGGGTGATCTATTCACAGTTTCCTCCTCCTGCAAGAGAGTAATTTATGTAAACATCAAGGAAATAAAAATCTAAAGAACACCCTTAAAAACCATTTTGAGCAAGCTTACAAAGAATAATCTACTTTCATTTCTACATTAGGATTTAATTTTTGAAAGGACCTACTGCTGCTACCCCTCCTTTCTATACATGGCAAACAAATCCTTTTTTTTCCCCCCACAGTATATGTACACTATTTGCTGAGAGTACTCAAGAGTTTCTGCTGCTGTGAGAATCCCTTTAACTTCAAGCAACACTCCACCCATTTTTAAGTCACCAATTATGTCAGCGTGGAGCACTTAAAAGGTCACATCCTGACTGCATACAAAGCTCAATAAGCCTTCTGCCTCAAGAAGATGCATTCCACACAATCCCTCTCCTCTCACAGTGCAGGGTCTATGGCAGTGCCTTTAGCAAGGTGCCCAGCTTTGCTGAAGTTGGCCACAGCAATTCCTGTTCTGCAGGTTAAGTTTGCCAAAGTTCTGACACTGAGGGAATAACAGAAGCCAAGTTTACTTGTAAACACTTTAGTAAGGCTTGTTCTACATGACTTAAGAAAAAAATGCACAAGACTTCCCTCAAAGATTAAGCACTCTTACCTCTGATGCAGGTTTCCTATCTTCTTCCTCATCCTCTTCCTCCTCCTCTTGACTAGCACTTCCTATGTCAGCATCACTTTTTTGCTTCTCCTCTGAGGGAAATAAAAAAAATCTCATTCTCTTTTCGTTAAGACTTACTTTCAGTTCACTGTTGGCTTTACTCCATGTCTGCCAATCTTGCTATTTTATTCTATCAGAGAGAAAGCTCAAACTGTTTCAAGATTATCTAGTTTACCTACCTAGCTTTTCCTCATTTGCTTCCTCCTCCTCCTCTTCCTCTTCTTCCTTGCCTACTTTATCTTTTTCTTCCTCTTTCTCCTCATCCATCACATCAGGCTGAGGAGCATCAGTCTTTTTGTATTCTGCAGCACTTGGCTGTTTCTAGAAAATTGTCAAAGCCAGGCAGTTATTTCTAAGGTTAACTGACATCTTGCTGGATCTCTTTTTAAACATTATACTACTCATTATCGGAGGAAATGCATACCTTCCCAGAACAGCAGAAAAGCACAACAAGGAACACTGGCAAAGCCACAGTGAGGATGTAGACTACCCAAAGCCAGGGACGATCTTCAGCAGCAGCCATCATCTGGCCCACAACACCAGGCTGCAAGATAAGAACAACTGTCAAATCTCATGCCATACAGCAAGCTGTAGCAGTGAAGTTTAAGATACAGAATTTTCAAATAGGCTTTTTGCAACTTAACATTATATTTTGTGCCCCCAAAAAATTAAGCTAAACTGCACAAGCACTTTTTCCATAGTTTACAAATGAAGAATTAGTTAACAGTCCAACTGTCAGAGCAAAAACCTCACAAAAGAGCAGTAAGTATTCATCCCTACTTACAGCAACCATTACCATATTATAATTAGGAATTAAGGTTGCAAACTGGTTTATCATAATCCCTAGGCTTGGTACATATAGGTATATATTGACAAAGACTGTGGGAGAGAACAGCAGCAATGCTCCCACTGTTCCCATCAGAAGCACACAATTAAACTTTAATTTCTCACCTCCGCAGCACCATCGGCTGCCTTTTTCAGTCCCCATCCATCACTGGCCCAATCATCAGCCACAGCTCTTTCAGTACAAATGATAAAGTTATCAAAGAAGATGTCAGAAGTCATTGACCATAGCTCAAGTCCCACAGCAGTGAAGGGAGTCATCTTGAAAGGTTCCAAGTCTTCAAAGAAATCTGGGTTTGGGATCTTCCTAGGTTTCCATATACCCTAGGAAAGACAAGAGACATTCAGCCTTACCTGTCAATACAATTTTTAGCTTTCAGCCCATTTTGAACCAATAGAAAGACCAATCTGTTGCCCTTAATTACAATGTCTATGGGTGCAACTCATCAGGTTTTGGGAATGAATTTTCACTTGTTCTACAAAAAAGCAAAACCAAGTAAGAAAGCACTTTGAATCTGTCCACTCAAAATACAGGGCAACCATGACAGTATTTGTATTCTTAATTACACTTGCTGAATCTAAATAATTCTGCTTTTTGTAAGAGAAATGCGGCATTGGCCAGCAGTTTAATCAATGAAAACACCAACCTGATAGTTTACGTTATCAATCATAGGAGGCTTCCATTTGCCTTTGTAGTTTGGATTGTCAATCATTGGTCGCTGCCAGGTACCACAGCCAGGGGCTGCCTCACATTTAGGGTTTGCAATCTGAGGTGCCTCCCATTCACCGTCCATATCCTCATCCCTGAAAAGGAAAATTCAGTTTTGAAGTCTGCCTCTTGTATTTATACTGAATAAGACTGAGATAATGTCTGATTTCTGGGAAAGTTATAATCCCTACCATAAAATGGAGATACTGAAACTTTGTGTAGCATTGGTCTGTGGGTAAAAACACTGCAGAAGGAATGAGGATTTCAAGAAGTAGCTCGGAAGCACAGAACCTCAACAAAAGCCAGTCCCTGAGCACAGCCTCTCCCGCTGCCCCTTCCAAGTTGCCCCGTGGTGCAACTGCAAGACAACAATCGTAACCATCCCTGCCCTGTCCAGCTTACAATTGCACAAGAGCTGAAAAGCCTGCAGATGAACACAAGACTCCTCAGACCAACTCTGCCTTCTACTTTTGAAACAAGATAGCCTGAATCAATGATTTTGTTATCAAGCAACAATGAACTAGCAATTCTTATACTTGTAAAAGCCAGTACCAAAGCTATGAAATATCTGCTGTCATCTGCAACAGGCAGTAAACATACCAATCTTCAGGCTTCTCAGCATCAGGGTCAGCTACATATTCTGGCTCATCATCCAGCCAGCCCTCGGGTTTCACAGCATTTTCATCTGCTATCTTTGCAGGAGCATCCTCATCCCTTGAAAGCAGAATATTATGGATTAACACACATGACACATAAAAGTTCTTAACCCCAAGGCATGATTCTACAGACTCTGAACAAGTCCACTGATGTAGAGAACCAGCCAGCTTCATTTCTGAGAGGGTAAGCACAACACCATGATTTCAGAATGGAATTGCCTTGCGATCTGTTACCTCTACATGTGCCTCATGGCACAGTTGTGTCATCAACTGTAAGGCAATACTACTTATTGTTTAAAACCAACCTAGAAAGGGCATATTAGAGTAAATCCCATATCTTAGTGGTTGCTGCAAACACACATTTGAGCTTGAAATTGAATCCATGGTTCACAAAGCATAGATTCAAAGACAGAAACCCAGTATCGGTATCTGATTTAGGATGTCAGATATTTCAGTCACTTGTAACTATGCATTACACAAACATCTTACAGCTATACCTTCTGCAGCTCATCTTTTGATGTCATCAAGGAAGAAAGCATCAACTAGTATAGCTGTTTCAGTAAAACCTTTATCTGTGGCCAGCACAGTAACAGGAGCACTAAACAGTAATTCCCAGAGGACACAGATCCTATCTGCCTTTATCTCCCAAACTGCTGCTCAGATGCCTAAACTGACAGTGTTTCAGTTGCAAAGGTGAGACTCAAAATCTTCTCTAAGTCATCTGAGAAAGACTTTTTGATTAGGACCAAATTATCAGGTCAAGGCCTCGCTCAATTCCACCCCTCCAACAGCTTACCAGTCATCTGGTTTAACAGCATCTGGGTCTGGGATTTTTGGTCTCTCATCCCAGTCCTCAGGCTTCTGGTCATTCGGGTCCTCAATCTCTCGGGGTGGATTCACAGGGGGAGACATATCATTTAGCAGATTCCCACTGTTGACAACTGTTTGATCAACCAGTATTTCAAAACTATTATCAGGATTCAAGACTGAAAGGAAAAAAATGGATGTAGCCATTACATAGGTGCTACAAAGCATGCATCATAAACCATCACTCATCCCCACTCTACAACTACGACATCAGCAATCCAAGTGACCACCTACACAGCAACAGTTTTAAAGAATTGTTATGAATGTTTCTCCTTATGCCAAAGTATAACTAGTATTGATGTACCACATCTCACCTTCTGAGAAAGACGACTCATGGCAGGAGTCCTACTTTAAATACGCTAGAAGCACAAAACAGCTTGTAGAGCAACTTACCAGTTACCACAAGTTTACTTTGGCACAATGTGTATTAGTAATACATTCTTATTACTAAAAAAAGTATGTATTCACAGTCTACTCAAGAATTAAGACTCCCTACCACCAACTCACAGGATTTTAATTTCAGTCCTTTATCCATTGCTGCCTCTGTAGTAGGAAAATCCAGGGATCCTCCCGAGTACTCCCTGACAGATTTTAGCCATAGCTAATATAGCAGGCCAGATACTGTACTTCAAGAACCACTGAGTTTGTCTGGTACTATGAAAGCAGCAAGAAAAAAATACTATCCCTCTAAATCTAAAGCCTAGTACACCCCAAATTACTAGGGGGCAGCATCCATGCAGTTTATAAATGCTGATACTTTGGATATATTTAGCCTATCAAGTTACTCACGACTGCTCTGAAATTCAGTTCTCCTTTGACTATTAAGTTCAAGGTCTCATGACCTTTCTTACATGAATCAAGACTTTTTGCAAGGAAGAAATAAGCCTTTGTATAACAAGATCAGTTTTGCATTCAGAGCTTTCAAGTGGTTTTTAGTTGTATGGTGTGTTGACACAAATATCCAGTTGTTCATCTGGCTCATGTTATGAGCTTTTGATTCAGGAAATATAGTAGCAGTTATTAATGTGCACGATTAACAGTCACCATACCCAGAGTATAGAGATGGGTCTTCTTATCAGTAAAGTAAGTCTTCAGGTCTGCATCTGGACGCTTTGCATGCTTCTCCTCATATTTGCCAGTCTTTGGGTTTTTGTGCCGGAAGATGAAGTGCAATTTATAGTCCTCTCCACATTTGTCAGGGCCAAACATGATTGTATATGGAGTTTTGTCATGGAACTGATCCTTTACAAACAATGCAAAACATTCCATTATTTTAAAATGCAACTTAAGTCACTGCCTGGCATAATAACTCCCAACTCATTGGAAATTACTCTGCAACTTGGATATCAACCAGTAAAGTACCCACACTAAAGCTTTTACCATGACTACAAACCCTCTAGAAAAAAACACCGGAATTATCACAGCTACTTGATTTTGCACCTTTGGTCTCTACTTTCCAGATGGAAAACAACAGCTACTCAAGTGTGATCAAAAAGATAAGTGTAAGTGACAACCATCAACGTTCAAGTGTACTTCTACATGACAACAAAGGATTTTAAAAGCTATCAATACACTGATAATAATGAACAACTAGCTAGTCCGGTGAGTTTCTTTCACACAAAGTTAAACAGCATTAAAAGTGAGGTCAAGTTGTATTTAGCTTACACAGATAAACTGGTATACTGTCTCAATCTGAGAGTTAACTGGATAATAATCTCACCTCTGAACACTACACACAAGTCTATTTGTTCTTGCTAATGTAAACTTAATTCACTGCACATATGAAACTGGTTAGACAGCCAAATAGACTACTGGGTGTCTTTTTTTAAAATAATTTGGAATCTGTATTAATAATGAGACTGAAGAAGGAAAGGAGAAAGATGGGTAACAAGTCATAAAAGATGCTTCCTATAAAGTCTAGGAAGATGGCTACAGAAACCCATAGGCTACATAAGCCTATGCAAGGTGACCCAGCAGTTAAGCTTGGTCTGAATAGGCTAAATCACTTTAGGTAGGTACATGATTGAGAGGAGAGAAAATGATTCTTAATCCTTAGGAGTTGTAGCATGGTCTCTCCCATTGACCACACTTTAAGACAATGCATTCAAGGGTCATTTATAAAGAAAATGGCTTTATATAGCTAGTGTGCAGCTGAACATATGAGGCTGTATCCAGTCCAACCTCTCAAGACTTTTTTTTAAATATACACAGTAACTCAAGTGGGTTCACATGTCAAAGACAAGGCAATAAATGCAAGGAATATTTTAAGTTATTTGCATTAGTCTGTTTTAGAACATGGAATCTTCCTCCTCCTGGGCAACAGCTTCCTGAGAAGGTTTACCCTCATACACTGGCTACTCTCATGAGATGCCTCCTCTTGGGTCCTAGAACCTAGGGAAATCTGAAGTATTGCAAGCTTTAGCAAAGGTCTGGAACTGCTCATCTACTAGGAAATTCCAGAGTTTTTACTCAAGAGGACAGAAGATTTCAGCATTTATCCTCTCCAACTGAAAATGTTGTAAAACTGATGAGTGCAAAGGACTTTGGAGATCAGGCCCTAAACATGCCCCAGTGCCTTAACTGAAGAGCTTTTCTCAGGAAGCAGCAAAATGAAAAAGCTTTCTCTCACTGCTAATACTCAAAGTAGCAGCATTACTCACCAGGCTCAATTCGGGGGTTTTTGAAAGCAGTTTCACATAGGCCCCGCCACACTCTATTCCATTTTGGAAATTTACTTCATACCTAATTTTAGTTTCGGACAGAGAAGGGGAAAACATGTTATACATGAGGAAAAATTACTTCTGTAACACACAACTCCAATTTTCAAGTACAAATTAAGAGTTAAGACTGTTTTGCTGTTGTTTACTTTAAATCACATGCCCAGTGAATATTAAAAATACACACTGCACTCTAAAAACTAAGCAAATATCCATAAGGGCCTGAGAAACAAGAAAAATTGAGGATTTAGAAGACTTAACGTGATAGAAAAGGTCTAAGGAATTGAGTGCTGGTCTAAAAGATTATGAACTAGAAGTAGAGAGAAGGAAGAAAAAGCTTTCCAATATGTAAGACACTGCAACAGAGATTAAGGCAAGCCAACTATTTTCCCCACAACTACCATGGCAGACAGACAACTCCATTTGCAAAACTGCCAAAGCAACAACTGGATCATAGAAGCCCCTTTAGGGTTATAAGCATACAACAGTATATTTAGGGATGCCAAGGAGTCTGAAAAAGGCAAAACATCTCTGTCAGGAATAGGCTAAGTATGCTTGATCCTCTCTCAATGCCAGCAGCTGGAGTGGATGACCACTGGGATTTATTTTTAGCTTTGTATTTTGAGCCAAAACTAAACAGTCATGCAAAGCAAAGTGACCAATTATTATGTTGTGCAAATATGAATTAGCTTACTCTTTGTTTAAAACTAAGTAGGTAATAATCCACAATTCAACCGTTCTCACTGAATGATATACATGTTTGGTGGAGGGTTTTTTGTGGCTTTTTTTATGGACTTGCTAGTCTAACATTATGCAAGTAGATTCTTCTACATCAGTCATGGCCAAACAGCTAGGCGAGTCGTTCATCTTCCATGACAGATGAACTAAGATAAAGCAAGGAAGAAACAAGCGCATCCTTACCACTCTGTCCGCTCCACCTTGGAAACAGGGAGCAGTTTACTGCACAAAGAAGTGCAATGACCTACATATTTTGTCCAAAGGGACAAGCACTCTCACAATTAGCAGCACAAAAGTCAGTTGCTTGACCTTGTTACTACAATTAAATCAAGTGAATTGAAGTCCCGAGACAGGCTACCAAGTCTAGTTTTCATAGACTTCTTTCCTTTTCAGGTTTCAGAGGGACCCACGCTGTTCCTAACTTCCCACTTTGGGAATCTGGGTTGCTATTTAACTCTAACTTAAACAGTATAATAATAGGTTATGGTATCTTGTGTCATCTAGACCCCCAGTCAACAAAAGCTCAGTTATGGCATTAACCTCAGCCTGCTATCATGTCACCCTTGAAACAACAGAACATTAAGTTATCCTTTACTTACTGTATAATAAGTGGTTTGGTATCAAATACAAAAGGCTTGGAAAGTTTGGATGCAATTGCATGATGCTTGGCTCGGGTTACCAATACAAGCCCTTTGTCTCCTGGAAGCTTAGTGTCTTTCATCTCTTGGACTTCCCATTTACCTGGAGAGAAAATAACCAAACATTATCAAAAGTTGTTCAAGATAGTCTTTGTTTAGCCCAATTTTGAACAAGATAGTCAAGATTCTGCAATAATACCCTATAGGATATCTTATCAAGTTATTAGCATAAAATCTTCACTAAAAATTATTTTTAAGTAATCTCCAAGTAGATATTTTGCCAAAATTAGAACTACACTTTATACTCTTAGCCAGGTATATAAACGCTCTTTCCATTTTCTTCACTGAATATAATTTTACCTGGGAAACAGAAAACAAAGACTTGCACTTCTTCAGATATGACAAAAGACATCAGAAACATCTATCATCCAAAACCTGGGTTGCACTCACCATCATATTTCGCAATCTCATCATCTGTATCATCTTTCTTGGCTCTGGAAAGGATCCATCTAGAAGACAGACATCCAATGGTTGGAAAACCACACACTTTATTCCACTGAAAATCCTGCCCTGAAGATAAGCAGCCCTTGCTATCCTATGACTACACCCCATGTCTCGATCCCCCAAGTTATATCCCCAAGCCTGCTAAGTTCTCTGCATTTGCCACTTCCCACCCCCAAAGTAGGATGATGGCCTCAGTGTCTTGCTCTTGTAAAAAAAAACAAACCAGTACCTCACCATTTTCACCTTACCCAAAGAATAAAGTCAAATTAGGATTAAAACATTATATGACTTGTCTCCCCCTTGTTACTAGAATTTAAGGAAATACTAGTTTAGCTCAGCACTTTAACAGTCACCCTCAGATATTCGCTGCTGTAATCCTTGCCAACCACTGCCCTTTGATTCAATTTTGAATCACACAGGCTCTAGAGAGCATTTCATTGCTTTTTACCAAAATGTGTTTGTTATACTGAATCGCCCTTCAGATTATACTCACCCATCCAAAGTTCCTTTATCAAAGGACTCTGCAAAATACACCTCACCAGTTGGGACTGGAGGCCTGTAAGTCACCTATTGGAAAAGAGAGACATTTATGCACATTTCAAGGCACATTCTCTACTCTAAAGAAACTCTGGCACATACAGCTCACATTACCCCTCTACACTCAAGTAGAGCTTACCTGGAACACACTTGCAACATAAATACAGAAGTGACAAATATTGCTGCTTGTGCTAACCCATTGTGCTCTTGGCTGCAACTAAAACTGAAGTACATATCTATCTGGAAACACTAGCATTAACAGCTAATAATCAGATCACAGATTTCAAGGTGGATCTAAGTCTTCAGGAAGAACATGGGGGACATGAGAATACAAACAAAGCAGCTAAGCTTAATTCTAAGCCCTAGTCCCAGATAACATCTTTAATAACATCACAACATATTAAACTTTAGCAAAGTAAAGACAACTCTGCTCAGACTCACATTAACCGCAACACAAGCAGTAATTCAGTTTTTAAAAGAAGTTCCATGCCAAACCTTTGGAGTTGGAGGAGGAGTGCTCGTTTCAGGCTTTGACTCTTCTACCTCCTCAATGCCATCATCCAAGTCATCCTCGATATCAACTACATCATCACCATCATTGTCATCATCCAGATCATGTGCCTGGACAGCAAGGGCCAGGAGAGCTAGCAGGGTCACACACACTAGCCATTTCAGCTCCATGATCTGAATAAATAAAGTAAGGCAAAGAGGTCAGAGAGCGAAGCATTGTTTCTTGGTACAAAACCAAGCATCCAAGACAACAGGTGAAGTGCCTTGTCATACCACTGAAAGAAAAGGGCAAGCTTATCTTTTCAGCTCTGTTATTTACTGCCTCTGGCTGGTTGAGACAGCTTGAAAAGCTGGAGAATACAATATAAAGCCAAATACACCACAAACATTAACCAAGAGGAAGACCGCGTGTGCATGTTCTGCAAATCATGGTGCACAAGTGTCATAATTTTGCTCTTGCACTGCCGCAGTTCATAGCGGAACAGCAGACACATGTACACAACACCACAACCTATATAACTGCAAAAGCCTAAAGAGAAAACCTATTTCTTGTTTATGAAGGCCATTAATTGCATCATGCAGAAACTGAAATTTCCACACAGTTCAGGAATTCAAAGACAATTAGCTAGCTCTTTCAAGCAGAGAGTAGTCTACACAGTAATCAATCCTCTATCTCCTGTTCAATATTTTTTGTCCTTTCAGCTATGGGACACGCATTTTTTTTATTCACCAGTCCCCTTACCCAGGTTTTATTCCTCAATTACTGAAAACAGGCACTGATACTACTGACAGATGTCTACAAGAAGTTGAATACTGAGGCAGACTGAGGAAGAAAATTTCTTACTATGTAAGAGTTGATTTGATTCCCCTTGTTCAAACTCTAATTTAACAGGATGACCAACAAAGAAAATCTGTAACAGAGATAGACTATATAATCTGTTTACAGAATTAGAATACCACACTTAACCAATTTATAAGGTGCCCAGTGCATTGTCACACCTAAAATATAGTACCATCTTGGCAAGCTGTAGCTCAAAATGCTTTTGAAAATGCACTCACCCGCTTCCAAAGTACGCTGCTTCTGTTTGGGATTGAGACAGCTATTGAAAATCTGGTCAAAGTGGGTGGCTTGGAAAAGTGAATACCAGCATTACTTACAACAGGTAGCTTGTTGTCAGAAGGTCTTGTAAGTAAAATGGGTTTCAATTTTACTTTCTTGCTAGAGAAACTCCAGGGTCACTGCACCCTTATGTTGACACACAAGGCAGCACTCCTAGCATGCCGCTCAGTTTTATGTGACCCACCACAAAAACAACCTGTGCCTTGCTCACTTTTGCTTCGAGTCACTTTCCAAATTTCTTCCAAAACCAGAGTTGTAACTGTGACTAATACTCTTTTGAAAGCAAGTATAAATCCAAACATCCTCTCCTTCCCTTACACTCCTGCCTCAGGCTGTACCCTGTAGACTTCCAAACATAACTCAAGCAGAGTTAATAGTGCCTGTAGGGGCATAAGTTCATGCTAGAAAACAAACTTTAAACTTTTTCCAAAGCATGCTTAGCCACCTAAAAGAATTTACAGTCTTAAAGGCTTATCAGCACTATCCAATACTCCAAAACTACGCTGCATACCAGATCTACCGTTCTTAGATTATTCTTTAACTTCTAATGACAGAGGGGATGTTTTATAACTACAACACAACTGTATTCTAAAGACTTCTGCTGAGGTCACATCCAGTTTGTCACTACAGCAACATGCAATTGCAGCCAGTTTCCTAACAATAGTGATAGCCTTCAGGATTAGAGTCCAAATGCATCCTCACAACCCTCCCCCTCAGTTCAGGGAACTGCACCAGAACACCTCGGTGCCAAGAGGACACCATCCACATCACCAACAGCTAACAAAGACTTAAGTGTTGCTACATACGAGCAAAGCTTGCTTTCTTAATGCACAGTATACAGCCAGAATAGAAAAGTTACAGACCTTGTGGCAGCTCATAGATCTCATTACTAAAGTGAGAACCACCATATAAAATCGAGGAATGAAAACTGTCAAGCAAACATCAGCACCTTTGGAAGTTCAAGCTCCTCTTGCACAGACAAGACATTCTGTGAATAAAGTCATGCCCACCAGCATAAAAGCAGTACAGAAAACAAGTGCCTGAAACTTCATTTGAAAAAGTGATCTTCAGAGCTCTGTGTCCTGTGTTATTGAAGCAACTACACATGAGATGGCACAAGGACCTTTCCAAGGGAAAGGCTGAATTTTGCCTTACCTTATCGACAAGAACTCAACAAATACATTTTTAACAGAGATAAATTCAGGAAGATTTTACCCTGAATTTTATAACTGCTTTCAAATCATATTATGCAGATAGAATGACCACTTAATGATGTGGAAGGTGATACAAGGAAATTCATCTTAAAAATATAGCAAGGTTAAAGATAAGCCAAGATTCTCCTCTCCTCCCCAGAGGAAGGAGTTTCTATATACCTCCTCCCAAGCCTGTACAAAGGATATTAATGATTTAGCATGCAAGTAATTCCTTAAGTAATCTCACTGCTAGCCAACAAACCATAAAGTATTGGTGAAAGAACTAAATCATCCCCCCAAGTTGTATGCCAGTACTGCCTCCATATGTAATAGTTACCTACTTCACAATCCCACTCCAACTACAACCCTTTGGAAATATTTATCAGCAGCAAACGCAGTAAACACTAGCATGTAAGTGGCAAAGCCACACAGCCTCATATCACAGGCAAAGCTGCTCCAGAAATTCTCTCTTTAGTGAAACCAGACAACTCTACCAGTGACCCATACAGCAAGGGCAGAAGCTATGCCCCTCAGCACATCTCTACTCCTGTTGCAACCAGAGGCATCTACCCCATAGGTCTACATTTACCCATTAACGCTCTGTCTGAATCTGAGAACTTGATGAACCTCAGTTCAAGGTAGAAGTACTATCTGTTCAAGTTCCCAAGCAAGCTTTTTTCCCCTCAAAAAAAAACCTAAAAGCATGAAGAGAAGCTAATCCAGTTTCATGTCCTTGCCTCTTTATAATCACTGGCAAGCAGTTTTCACAAGTGTATATCCCTACAGAAAGCTGTTTAGGACACCTCCTACATATTCTATCAGTCTCAAATTCAACAGAAGCTAGCATTCACACACCTTGAGTGCAGACTGGTAGCATCTCCTGCAACTGCCAGTTGTCAGGCCAAGCTCCCTGTTCTGTTAATCTGTAACAATGTACAAACTCACTAAACTGTAAGAAATAGAAGACACTGTTCTCAGAAGAACAATTTAAGTGAAGTACACATTTTTGATATTTAAAAAGCTACTTCTATCCATAATGGATGTACTACTACATGAGAAAATTTCAACTTCACACAATCCTTAGGGATACAACACAAGTATGATTATGCCCTAGCAAATTAGGTTATTCCTAAATACGAGTAAGGGAGGTGAGAGGGAAAAAAAGAAACTCAGGTTTTATATAGAACAGGCACAAAACAATTTCTCAGTGGAGCTTTAAGTTGCTAGCAACTACAGGTGTTCAATTGTCACCCAAAATGTAGTCTAACCTTCAGATGCACAGCCACCTACTCTATGACAATCGGATCTCTCGCTTGAAGAAGTGTCCAATTTCCACGTGATTATCATAATCAGCCTTTTTTACTGTCTGCGCTTCTCTTCTTTAGGCATAAATGTGCAATATTTCTGAAGGTTAGCATATTTCTGATCATGAAACTGCTGAAAGCCCTTAACAAAGGAACCCTTTATAATAGGAAAGAGCTTCTGATGTCTCCATTCTACTTCAGTGCAACCCTCATTGTCACCAGAACACTGCTGCAAGTCAGAGATGACTAAAACTTCATCTACCTTTTTTTTTTAATAAGGTCTCCAGACACTTTCAGACATTAGCACACCACTTGGATTGAAGGGAAAACTGCTGCAGTATGACACCAAAGCACTCACTAGGAAGAGTCTTCGAGACTGCCAGGGCTAACTAATCGCTCATTCTGTGTCTGTGTGCCCACCCACTGCCAGCTTCTGCTCCAGAAAAAGTACAGGTGACATTTAAGCACTGTTCACCAACTCCTGACTGTCAAAAGGACGGAGCATTTCCCCCTAGAATTTACAGGAGCTATAGCAGAGCACTGAAAACAGACACCTGGAACAGCCACACCAGACTTTACTTTTTACAGAGTAAAAACTAAACCAAATTGGAGTGAGATTCAGAGACAGGATCAGCTTCTTGTCATAGAAGGGGCCCTCTTAAAATGTAGAGCTAAGTGATTGCTACCTTTGGATTTCAAGGAAGTCATGCAGCTTCAGAGATATATTTTTATTTAGAATTCCCCTTTGGGCATAAAGGGGAAAGTTCTTCTAAACTATTGGCATGACGTGGGGAACACTTGACCCGTACAGCAGACAGTTGTCACCGTTCTCTCCAACATACATGTTGGGGGAAGGACAGTGAAAGGGCCCACACAAAAAGAATGTGTAAGTCCTTTGCTGTCATACTTCCAGAACACACTATTTAGAAAGTAACTTCCCTGTCACATCAAACAGAGCCTGCAGAAAGTTTAATCATCTCCTTTGTTACTGATCTATTTGAGTGGTTCATCAGGGCTGTTCTTAACACTGCATATTTCAGAACGTGTGACTACATTTGAGCTGCTACTGGCTATCTAGTTTACTGCTTACTTTTTTTTCAGAAGAATTAAGACAGACGAAATGGGTCTTATTAAAAATAAGTCACTTACTATGAACTACATCTCAGCAATTTAACTGGAAGAGCATCAGTCATTTCTATTTCAGCAGCATCTGAAGGGACAGCTGAATGACTTAAATATAGGAAGGGCAATATTTGCTAGCAAAGTCCTGCGTTCCAAATACTGGATTTCAGTAAGGTACTTACAGTGGAAGCACACCAGTAAAAACAAGCACAATGTGTCCTCATGCAAAGCAAGAATTATGGAAAAAAAATTTCAAGGCACAAAAGTAAAGAAATTCATCACAACACCTAAAAAAAAATGTAAGGAGAGAAGAATGGAAAGGCTAAGACACAGATACCCATTTTCCCTCTCAAATGACATTGTTATGGCTCCTGAGCAAAGGCTTGGCTACCCTACTTGGTAGTCCACTGGTTTCTTAAAGTCAGAACTACT